TGTCGTGGTCGTGGTCGTGGACATGGTCGACTTCGTCGTCGTCGTGGTCCTCGTCGTCGTGGTCGTTGCGCCCGCCAACGTCGTGGTCGTGGTCGCGGTCGTTGTCATGGTCGTCGTCGTTGTTGTCGTCGTTGTCGTCGCCGCCGCGCCCACCAACATCGTAGTCGTGGTCGTGGTCGTGGTCGTGGTCGTGGTCGTGGTCGTGGTCGTCGCGGTCCTCGTCGTCGTCGTGGTCGTCGTTGCGACGCCCACCATTGCCGTAGTCGTGGTCGTGATCGTGGTGGTGATCATGGTCGTCATCGTTGTGGCCCTTGTCGTCGTCGTCGTCGTCGGCATCGTGGTCGTCGTCGCGGCGCCCTTCGACGTCGTGGTCGTGGTCATGGACATGGTGACATGGTAGTGGTCATCGTCGTCGTCGTCGTCGACGTCGCCCTCCTCGTCGACGTCTTCGCCGCGCCCGCCGATGTCGTGGTCGTGGTCGTAGTGGTAGTCGTGGTCGTGGTCGTGGTCGAAGTAATCGTCGTTGTCGTGGTCGTGGTCGTAGTCGTTGACGCCGAGGTCGTCGTCGTCGTCGTCGTGATCCTCGTCGTCGTCGTCGCAGCTCCCGCCGGCGTCGTGGTCGTCGTGGTCGTAGGCGTGGTCGTCGACGTGGTGCTGGTGGTAATCGTGGTCGTGGTTGTGCTGGTGGTGGTCGTCGTGGTCGTGGTCGTCGTCGTCATCGCCGCACCCACCGACGTCATGGTCGTGATCGTGGTCGTAGTCGTGGTCGTCGTCGTCGTTGTCGTCGTCGGCGTCGTCGACGTCGTCGCACCAACCGCCGACGTCGTGGTCGTGGTCGTGGTCGTGATCATGGTCGTGGTCGTCGTCGTCGTCATCGTCGGGGTCGTCGGGGTCGTCGGGGGTGTCCGAGTCGTCGTCGTCGTCGTCGTCGTCATCGTGGGGGTCGTCGTCGTCGCCGCCGCCGTCGACGTCGTCGTCGTCGCCGCAGCGCCCGCCGATGTCGTGGTCGCGGTCGTAATCATGGGCTCGGTTGTCATCGTGGTCGTCGTCCTCATCGTCGTTATCGTCGACATCGTCATCGTCGTCGTCATGATTGGTGATGTCAGGGTCGTCGTCGTCGGGGCCGTGGTCGTTGTCGTCGTCGTCGCCGTCGTTGTTGTCGTCGTCGGTGTCGTCGTCTTCGTCAGGGTCGGCATCGCCGCCGCAGCCGCCCGCGTCGACGGCGTGGTCGCAGTCGTGGTTGCGGACGTGGTCGCCATCATGGTTGTCGTCGTCGTCGTCGGGGTCGTCATCGTCGGGGTTGTCGGGGACGTCGTCGTCGTAGAATGCGTGGCCGTGGTCGTCGACGTCGTCGTCGTAGTCGTCGCCGTCGTCATCGTCGCCGTCGTTGTCGTCGTTGTCGTCGGTGCCGACGACGTCGTGGCCGTGGTCGTGGCCGTGGTCGTGGTCGTGGTCGTGGTCGCGGTCGTGATCGTGGTCGTGGTCGTGGTCGTGGTCGTCGTCGCCGTCTTCGTCATTGTCGTCGGGGTCGTCGGGGTACTCGTCGTCTTCGTCGACGACGTCGTCGTCGTCATCGTCGGGGGTCATGGCGGTCGTCGCCGTCATCGTTCTCGCCGTCGGGATCGTTGTGACCATCGTCGTCGCCGTCGTCGTCGTCGCCGTCGTCGTCGTCGTCGCCGTCGTCGTCTTCGGGGTGGTCGTGGGGGTCGTCGTTGCCCTCGTCGTGGTCGTCGTGATCTTCGTCGTCGTCGTCGCCGTCGTCGTCGTCGCCGTCGTCGTCGTCGTCGCCGTTGTCGCCGTCGAGGTCGTCGGGGTCATCGTGGGGGTCGTCGTCGTCGTGATCGTCATGATCGTCGTCGTCATCGTCGCCGTCGCCGTCGTCGTTGACGTCGTCGTCACCTTCGGAGTCGTCGGGGTGATCGTGGGGGTCGTCATTGTGGTCGTCGTGATCGTCGTGATCGTCGTCGTCGGCGCCGACGTCGTCGTCGTCGTCGGCGTTGGTGTCGTCGTCGCCGTCTGGGTCGTCGGGGTCATCGAGGGGGTCGTCGTCGTGGTCGTCGTGATCGTCGTGATCGTCGTCGTCGTCGGCGCCGACGTCGTCGTCGTCGTCGTTGTTGTTGTCGTCGTCGCCCTCGGGGTCGTCGGGGTCATCGTGGGGGTCGCCGTTGTCGTCGTGCCAGGCGGCGGCGGCGGCGGCACGATCCCCGGCCTGAACGTGGTTCGGACGGAGGTCGCGAGGCCTCGTGCGTCGGGGCCGGCCCTCCGCGTCCACGTCCTCCTCGTCCTCCGCTGCGTCCTCTCCTTCGTCCTCCTCGTCCTCGTTCTCATCCTCCGCGTCGTCCCCTTCGTCCTCCACCTCTTTCCCTTCTCAAGAACTCCCCCCCGTCTGACCTGCTGAGGTGTTGGCGGGGCTGGCCGTGCGTTTCGCTCAGGACTTCCTCACGATTCCTGATCCTGAAGCTTGAAATTTGCAACAGCTTCCAGGGCGGGTCGTTTCCAAAATGTGGCTCTCGTCCCAGCGCTGCGCACATTCGTCTTAAACTGTTGCATTAGCTTCACGGATGAAGGGCGGGTGGTTTTCAAAATGTGGCCCCCTGCCCCAGCGCCGCGCACATTCGTCTTAAACTGTTGCAGCAGCTTCACGGATGAAGGGCGGGTAATTTTCAAAACGTGTCTCTCGCCTTAGCACCGCGCAGATCTGCCTCGAACGGTTGCCACAGTTTCAACTATGGACGGCGAGTGGTTTTCAAAATGTGGCTCTCGCCTTAGCGCCGCGCAAATTCGTCTTGGACGGCTGCCACAGCTTCAAGGACGGAGGGTGGTTCCCTTTTCAAAATGTGGCGCTCGCCCTAGCGCCGCGCGCATTCGTTTTCAAAGCTTGCAACAGTTTCGAGGGTCCGCAGGGTTGAAATCCCAAGAATGGTGTTTTGACACGATTGAGGATTGTCCGGACGCCCTGGGACGCGCGGCAGGTACCACTTCCGCCTCCACGGGGACAAAGGGGTCCAGAGGCGGGTGGCGCCTCATACTGCGCCTGAAAGGATAGGGCATGCCCAATACTTCCTGGCGACGCGCGTCTGTGTTGGAGGAGTCGCGGCAGAACACAGCAGAAAGGAGGGCAAGAGGGACGACAAGAAGGAGGCGACGACGACGATTAGGCAGCCAAAACACCCGTCTGCTACAACTTCTGTGCCCCAGGCCTCACAGAACACACAATTTATTGCACTCTGGCTCGCGGTTGGGAAGTCCCAAGAATGGTGTTAAATTGATTCGCGGACCTGAAGTCTCAGGAATGGTATGTTGGCACGGTTGGAGCTTCTCATACAGTTGTCTCTCAACGGGGCACGTCTCGCATTCAAAACGTTTTTGGCAAGGACATATGAGGAGGGATCAAGGAGAGAGGCTTTACTGCAACATCGGTGATGCGCTTTGGGTTTACTCTGGTACTCGTTCTGCCCCTCTTCTCCCTCCTTCTTGCCCTATTCGTCCTCAGCGTTCGCCTCCTCCTTGTCCACGTCCTGCTCCTTTCAGTTTCCTCCACAGCGTGAAGACCCCACCAGCAGCCACCATGGAAAAATCGGTCGCCGAAACGAGCTGGAACGACGCCGTGACCAGAGGCAACCACCACAATGACCAAAGGCCGCCGTTCTTCTGTCTCCACCTCCTCATCTTGGACGGGTCTTGGACGGCCAGCGTGGGAGTGGCAGTGCCGCCAGGAGCCATCAAGAGTGGGACTGGAAGCAACTCCCACCGGGGTGCGCACCTCCCGTCCCATCTTTTTCGACCCCCTTCGCCACCCCATCCATGCAGAGCTACGCACAACCCCTCTGAGGCGAACTCCTCTCCTGCGGTGGCAGCGCACACTGCTTTGATCACAAAGCTGGCCACAAATGGCTCACGCGACTGATCCCCTTTGCCTCAACATCATGTGCCTCGACCTGGATCGACGTTTTTTTTTCCAGCGCGCACGGTGCTCAAAAGATACAAACGATCGGTCAGTTACACAGCGCGCACTGTGCACAAAAGGGCAGTTACACACGTGCTCAATAGATAGAAAGAACACGTTCGACAAGAACGAACATGCACGCGCGTGGAAGCAAAAGTATTCCTCCCTCTTGGTACTCTTCATCCGTATCCAACATCCGCGTCTTCCTTCTCCTGGCCGGCTGGGATCCCTCTAAGCAGGGTCCGTCCGGATACAATTGCATCATTGTGTGATTTGTATCCTGTATGATCTTGCTGTCCTGGGTCTCTGGGCAGCGCCTCTCTGCCCAGGCTCCGCGCAGGAGTGGCCGCACCCGCACCCGCCCCGCGCGAGCAGCGGCCGACTTGTCGACATTAGTCAACATACAAAGGGCAACCTAACTCAAGTATTTACACATGATCGCCGTAGGCTTGCGACGCTGTCGCAGCCGAAACGGGCTCGTATCACGTGAGGTCACAGCATCTATCAGGCTCCAAGAGGAGGAAAGGAGAGGGGGGGACGAGGAGAAGAGAGAATACAGGGGAAGGGTAACCGGCAACCAAAGGACGGCAACAAAAGGGTGGGCGCGGCCGCGGCAGTTGAAGAAGAGTAGGGCAGTTCAACGCTGGAGAAAACCAAAGCACGAGGAAAAAGAAAGAACACTGAAACACGAAATGGAGCAATACGCGAACATTACCTCTAAACTCGACCCCGCATGCCGTCATGACGCCATGCCGCCATGCCACACGTTTTTAGGGCCGCGGTTGGAGTGTAAAAGTGTGTGCTTGACTTGTCAGTCCACTAAATAAGCCAATGAAGAAGAGAGGCTGGCGAGGAGAGGTTAAAGTGGAGCCGCCTTAGGATGAGGATGAATGAACTCGACCAGAGCCTCATCCTACGGAGCGGCCGCGACGGGACCGTCAAGTGAACCAACCAGAATGCCGCCATGCCGGACGTCATCGAACACCTTGCTGCGTCTTACCTGGCTACCAAGACGGCTTGTTTGCCCTTGCGCCGTTGGGCCCTTGACGTCTTGCTACGCTTGAGTCTTGTACGCCGCCTCGGCCTCCTTCATACGCACCACCTGCTGGCTTGTCAATTCCATGTCGAGCTTGCTTGCCAAACACTTCAAGCCAACGTCTTCGCACGCACGACTCAGACAGACGTACGTGCTCGCGAGCAGGGGCACCTTCGCTAGAACCGCGTCTGTGTACAAATCCACGGCGTATTCAACCCGCTGGAGCAGAATGCAAGAACGGATAACATGATGATAGGCGAACTGGTCGGGCTCGAAGGACTGCTTCCGCATCGCATCGAAGATGGCAATGGCTTCCTCAAATTGGCCACTGAACGCGTAGACCCTGATCATGATGCCATAAGACCTTGGATTTGGAACCACCGAGTGGTCAGCCATTTTCGCAAACAACTCTTGGGCCTCGTTGTGCATGCCAAACTGAAGATAAACACCCAACACTGCATTGTACGCCGCCCGTTGGAACTGAATACCTGATCGCTCCATCTCATTGACAACCTTCAAAGCGAATGTTGGATCGGAGCGCTCGTAGGCCACAACGATGGAACGATATGCCTGATTACTGAGGATGACACCTGCGTTCTTCATCCTCACGAAATATTCCACGATTCTCTCCGGAGGCTGATGATTCCACGCAGCCAGCAAACGGTTCTGGGTATGAGGCGACGGGTCGATTCCGTGAGCTCAAACTACACCAAGAAGCCGCAATCCGTCTATGCGAATCCGTTGGTCATCGAGAGTTTCAGCGACGAGCTGGAAGAAATTGTTTGACACGGCCTTGTGAATAAGGTGTGCACCAATCACGGCCCCCATCTCCAACATCTGATCGAACAATTTCACAGCTGCGCCTCCGTGCCCAAGTCTGGTTGAGGCATGCATCACTTCCAACACTTTTGGGAGATTGTGGGTCACGCCCTCTCTCTGCGCGCGCTCGATGATGTGCACGTCGGGCTTCGGCCTTTGCCTCCTATTTCTAAGCTGACCCCTTCCGCCCTTGGGACTGGCATGAAGAATAAGTGGATTCTTAGGCGACCCGCGTTCCTCGACGGAAGCTGCGCCCCAGGCTTCGCGCCATCCGTCGAAAGCCACCTTGCCGATCAACGGTGTTGTAGTGGTCAGCGTATTCACCTCGGTGTTTTCTTGCGTGCTCTTCGTACTGCCAGAATCGACAAAGAAGCCGAAAACAACAAGCGAGAACAGGAACCCGTCGATACCGATGGGAAGACTTGTTCCGCCAAAAGTGCTGGACGTGGCTAAGAAAAGGTGGCGTAACGCGGAGATCGCAGCACATACAACTGCGACACTCATGACAAGTCTCTGTGCGGCACACCACTTTGGAAAACTTTGAAAGGTCTGCTGCACCTTCGCAAGTGACATGGACATCTCAACCACTGACAGGGAAGATGTGTAGAATGTTCCTAAGGCGTGTGCGTAAATATGAAATCGTGCACTCATGGACTGAACCAGGGCTACACTGTTCTGATCCAGCTAGAGCCAAGACGGACGGACCTGGACCTGGACCGATGATGCAGGGTATACTTGTCCAAACACAGTCTGGAGAACACGTGACCAACAAGCATAAGGCCCGCGAAATGGACCCTCGCACATCTGCCTGTCGAGCAGCTGGCACGCGAGGTATCACGGTGCATGCGCAACTACCCATGTTCACTAGAACCATCACGCGCCATGCGCGCGCTAACATCTTAGCTAGCTTGGCCGCCAAGCCATAACGCTAACGAAAGATCGTGCAATGAGAATCCATACCCGCCGGTCGGAAGAAGTGCGTGGCAACATAGAGTAGGAATACATTGGAAGCAGGTCGGTGTTCCGCCAATCCCCCTGAGGAATGAAGAAGGAAAGCCGCTGGAAACGTGAAGTACGAAGGCGCGCATGGTGTCGATGACGCCTGCGGGTGATATAGGGCCTGGATACAGCTTCGATGGCCTCCCCAAGCGACGCCTTGGGTATACTCCAAAAAGATGCTCATGATTCAAAAGTGATGACAATCCGGGAGAAGGGGCTGGACGGATGAAGGAGAATGAGGAGCAAGAGGAAGTGTACCGAAGAATCCAGCGGCGAGTCCCTGCAGACCACTTCTATCTAGAGAGGCGAATGTGGCCAAACGGTGTCGAAACGCATCGAACTTGTAGCCGGTCCTCAATGGGAAACTCACTCGACTGCGGTTGTTGTCAAAGGGCCCTCCTGGACCGTATCGGGGCTGTCTTGGAGCGGGGGGGCCCTCGTGGCCCTGTACAGCCACCCTGGGCCGCCTTGGGCCATTCTGGGACATCTTCGGACCCTTGCGGGCCGTTTTGGGCCCTTCAAGGCATTCTTGGAGCTTGATCAAAGCTGTGTGGACGCCCTCCTGGTGCCCTGTTGGACCGTCCCCCCCCAGCGACAGACCAACAAGTGTTGCCTAGACGTTTTCTACCGTGGCGTCGTCCCATCTCAGCCCCTCGGCCCCTCAACCCATCGAAGAGGCTGAAACGAGTGTGGCTCCCACTAGATATCCGCGGCCACTCTACAAAGAAGTGCATTATCCAGACCGACGAAACGTTGCTTTACAGGGCGCTGTGTCACTTTACTTTGCGTTTCTTTTCACAGGCTTCCCAATGCGTTACCTGCCATCTCTGACCTGCCTGCGCTGATGTGGCTGGCGTTCCCTTCCTCATCCCTTTGAATTGCTCCAAAACCACTTTTCCCTCTTCCTTCCATTTCCCTCGTTTATTATGTATCGTACATGACTGCTTTGTGCCTTAGTTCGGCCTTGCGTAGCTTGTCGGCGTCTGAGATATGCCACTTCGCACCACCCTAACCCGTATCTGACATGTGCTTGAGCTTGAGCTGGATTGCTTTCGTCAGCCGCCGCGTCCCTGGCACGCAGTGGGATGCCCTTACGTCCTCGATCGTCGCTCAATCCGCCAGCCCAGCGGGCATTTGTGAGAGGCTCTTCGACGCAAGGCCAGCCCAACAACCCAGGCCAACCCAAACTGAAGTACGCCAGCCGCTTTTGAATCATCGCCGTCGCAAGGGAGTTGGAACGAATGAGGGGGATCGAACAATGTCGGAAGCACGTCTCCCTGTGTCCCTTCCCCGCCATGACTGCAGGGGTGGGTGGGCCTCGGGGGGGGACCAGGTACTGGGGGGGTCCCGTGGGGGTCCCGTGGGGGGGGGGCGCCCTGGGGGCGAGTCCCAGGGGGGCATCGGCATCGGGGGGTGCGACCTCCGACCTGGGCGGTCCCCCCTGCATGTAGAACAAGGAAGACAAGGCGCGGTCTCTCTGTTATAGCAGTGGAGCGCAGGACCCCTCCCCCCGCCTCCACCCCAGCTCCGGCCCCGGCCCCGGCCCCGGCCCCGGCCCGGACCCTGGCCCCGGCCTGGGTCGAAACCCTGGTCCTGGCCCCGAAACCATGCCCCCGAGGGGGCCACATGCGAACTCTGCACCCCTACCCCCCACGAGTTCTGAGGGGGAGGGTGGGGCTCACTTCGCGCGGGAGCTCCCGAGCGAAGCGAACCCCACCCTCCCCCTCAGAAATCGTGGGGGCCCCGGCTCCCGCCCCGGCGCCAGCCCCAGCCACGGCCCAGCCCCCGAGAAGACAGACCGCTCTCCTCCACTTCCTCCATGTCCTCCTCCTCCTCCTCCTCCTCCTCCTCCTCCTCCTCCTCCTCCTCCGCCTCCGCCTCATCCTCCTCCTCCTCCTCCTCCTCCGACTCCTGCTTCTCCTCCCCCTCCCCTTCCCCCTCCTCCTCCGCCTCCTCCTCCTCCGCCTCCTCCTCCTCCGCCTCCTCGGTTTTGAAATTTCGGCCTCAAGATGGCCTCACGACTACGCACGAGACTCCCCAAAGTGTCCCAAGCGGCCCAAGGAGGGATGACGAAGGGGAGCACGGCGAGTCGGAAGAAGCATGATTACGAACAGCAGTAAGAAGATGCGACTCTGCTGAAGACCTTTTCACGAAGAGAGTATCAGATATTTGCTGGGGACTGGTCAGTTATTGAACTGGATCCCTGGATTGAACATTCGCATCAAAGACTCAACGCTGATGATCAACCCCTGGAATGGAACTATTCAAATCTCGACTCGATACAATGAAACAATTAGTTCTGAACAGAACAGGAATCGAGGAGCTGGGGGATGGTACTATTGGAACAAGAGAATCACAATCCAGGACCTTGCAAACTTGAAGATCTTAGTATTGTACGCTGTGCCCCCCCAGCTGGGCATCCAGGATTGAAGCCAACAGCGCACACAAGTAATGTGACCACACCTTGTCAAATCTCAATCCGTCGTCGCTCAGTCCACCATCACCCTCGCCCCCACATCTCAGAGGAGAAAGGTGGGAAAGTGACAGACGTGTCCGATATCTGTTCGGGAAGCGGTGTGGGGGTCCTGTGTTTGGGGGGCGGGCCGAAAGGCCAGACCACGAATCCAGAGAGCTGGCTGATGCTATGCGACCGCGGTCCCTGCGAGGAAAGACCAAGCATGTCCGCTGCACCCAAACGAGAACCAGTGCAGCGACGTTTCCGGTGCTTCCCAGGGCGCAAGGGAGAGGAAACCGTGAGACGAGGAAATCAAGACAGCCGTCCCCGCTGGGGACCCAGGAAATCCGCCGACCCCCGCTTGCTGGGGGTGTAAAGGCGTGTCAGACATTTGGCTGTCCCCCTCCCACGGTCACCCTCCCCTGGGTCCCAAAATCCCGTCAAAGGGGGGGGGGGTACGAACTCGTCAACGCGCCCCTGGTGCCACAGGAGCCTCCAGAGATCCCCTGGCCCCAGAGAGCCCACACAGAGCGCGAAGACAATCCAAGAGAGCGTCGAACCGGCCCAGGGTAGCCCCACGGTGATCCAAGATGGCTTCAAGACGGCCAAAGAGGCCTCCAAGATAGCCCAAGAGCGCTCCCAGAGGATCGCTGAGAGGGTCCCAAGAAGCAAAACTCATCCCATTCCCTTAGGAGACCTAAAAATTTGTCAAGGTGGACGTTGTGGTCTTGTCAGCGGCCAAGACCGACCAAGAGGCCCCCAAGATCATCCCAAGACGGCTCGTGAGGTCCCAAGGGGGCCCCGACACGGCCTCAGGGAGCTCCGAGACGGCCCCAAGGGACCCTAAGACAACCCAAGAAGGCCCAAAGTAGCGCCCAAGAGCGGCAACACGAACTCACAATTCAAGCCTTTTCAACCCACAATTGCTTCGAGAGCACCCCAGAAACACCCGAGGCGGTCCCAAGAGGCCCCCAAGAGGCCTCCAGGGGGCCCCGAAGAGGCCCCCGAGAGGCCCCCCCAAAGCCACCCAGATGCCCCCAAGACCGCTCCAAGAGGCACCTCAAAGGCATGCAAGGAACAAACACAACAGCCAGCAGACAACTTCCATGCGTTCTGCCTCTCGGGGGTCGGCGGAATGGCGTAATCCGTTTGAATCTCACTGGACCGCGTCGCACCACTTTGTAGCCCCCAATTCGTTCCGCCAGCATCGGTTCAAATCATCATTTGGAGGCCAGTTCAGGGTGCGAAGCGAAAGTGAATCAGACCCGCCCGATCGCGCAGGGATCTCCAGAATCAAGAACGGTGTGCCCCTACTGATCCTCCTCCTCTT